GGGTGTTGGCCGAGGGGTGTGCGGCGGTGGCAGGGCTGTGCTGCCCCTGGGGGGGGGTTCTGTCCGAGGCAGGGACCCCCCTACCAATGTCTGACCTCCATCTCCCAGCAGCAGGGGGGACCCTGGAGCCCCCAGCCTCCCCCCCTCCACCAACTGTGCCACAGGACAGGCAGGGGGGAGGCCGAGGCGAGCACAGGCCTGAGGCCGGGGTGACGGGCACCCGGACAGCAGAACTGGGGGGGTTTCAGCACCACTGCCCCTGGATGCCTGAGACCCCCCAGGCTGGAGGGGGGTATAGGGACACTGCCCCCCCACCCCGGGGGGGGCATCGCCCCGAAACACGGGGTCTGGGTGCTGTATGGGGACATGGGTGCCGTATGGCCTCTGCGTGCTCTGTGGGGCCACGGGCTGTGGTTTTGGGGGCCACGGGGGTCCCACATCCTCCCCCCCCGCCATCCCCATCCTGTCTCTCCCCCCAGGATGCGCCTTCCTGACTTACTGCGCCCGCGAGTCAGCCCTGAAGGCGCAGAGCGCCCTGCACGAGCAGAAAACCCTCCCGGGGGTGAGTGGGAGCGCAGGGACTCCCCCCCAACCCGTGACACCCCTCCCAACCTGTGACAGCCCCCACCACCACACGTGACACCCCCCCCACGCCGGGACACCACCATCCCCTACCCTTGGGAGGACCCAGGTGTCCGGGACCCCACCTTTGGGGGGGGATACGACACCCCAAGAACATCTGCCGGCAGGGGTGTGTTATAAATAGCGGGCAAGCACCATGTCGCCTGGAGACGGCCTGGCGCTAACGAAGGCCTGGCTAATGAAGGCCTGGTGCTAACGAAGCGTTGCCAGGCGAGCGGCGGGCACTGGGCAGCTGAGCTAACAAAGCCGGGGGTTGGATGTGGAACCCAGGCATTTGGGTGCCCCCCACCCCCATTGAAGCTGGGGTGCTGGGGGGATCCCAGCAGCTGAGGTCGTCCCCCCCATATCCCCCCCCATCGTGGGTGCTGG